TCCCACTGGCTCGGTGAAGCATCCAGCTCCCACAGCCTCTGGCTCCAAGGAGCCCCTGGCAGGACCCCACATAAGGCAGAGGGACCAAAACCGAAGACCACAGCAAGGGGTCTACAACCACTTTTGAAACAAAGATGCTTCATTTCAAAATGTGGGATTTTTAAGGAGCACAATCCATGGAGGAGTCTGGTATCAAAAGCAAGCTGTGGCCCAAGCACTCTGGAAGCAGCAGGCCAGACAAGTGGTTACTGGAAAGAGACCAGGAGCTGTGGGATCAAACCCAGCCCTTCCCGTAATTCAGCAAAGTCCCTTCTCTGCCTGTCTCTCTCTAGCAGACAGTGAGGTGGAGACAAGAACTGATGCTCCAACTGTGCAGCCCTGACAAAAGTGGCAGCTGATCAGCACCTTCATTCTTCCCCCTAATTAGACACAATTAACACCTCCTGCTCATCCTCCCTTCTTTTACCCTGCAAAAATTTCAGAAGCAACAGTTCTGCTGCTTGTAGAACGGTCTTCCCCAGCAGCAGAGAAACAGATGACACTGCACCAAAAAGTGATAAAGTCTGTTTTGGAGCTAGGGGAAATCACACCGATCTCTCCCGTCCAATAAAATCCCCATCAGCAGCCAAAAAGACACTTCTCCAAGGGAGCTAAAAAGATGAGGTAGTGCAGAGACCAGCAACTCCCAGCACGGAGACACAGGACCTGAAACACAGGTTTGCTCACGGCAGACTGAAGCATGGTGAACCTGCAAACAAAGGCTGTGACAACAGCCACCCTTCCACAGTCACCAGAGAGATCTACTGTGTCTACTCCTCCTTCTTCCGCAAACACTTTCAAAGATGCATGTTAATTTTATTTTTGTAAGGAAAAAAGTCCTGCTCCAAAGTCTTTCTCCTTCAATGAGAGATCCTGCGAAGGCAGAGCCTCTTCATTAAGCCAAGGAGAGAGAAGGACAGACCCAAACTACTGGCTGTTGATAATTGTAGGAGTAGGAAAGGTCTGATTCACCAAGACTTAGCAGATATGAACAAGTCAAGGTCTTCGCAAAGGGAGCAGGTTACTTCTTAGGAAAGAGACATGGACCTCATTTCCAAAGGTCAGCTTCCTTCCAGAGCTGCAGCAGCAGGATGGAGAGAAATGACTGCTGATGGCTGCAGATCCCCACCGAGGTCCTGCAGGTGAATGGCAACCCTTTCCTTCAAACGCTCAACTATCACCTGGTGTTCTCCCAGTGAAGCACAGATAACAAGAGCAGCTAAAGACAACATAAAAGTGTCTGTACCAATTAAGCTCCTGACAGGCTGCCTTACACAGGCCAGGGATGGTCGGCAGATACACGGGTGGCGGAAGCGGCTCCAGCTCCAGCCTGCAGAAAGACTTGGTGTCCTGCAGTGCTCTTTCTCTAGTGCCTGTTAAAAGTTCAGGTCTTATTTGACCCCACATCCAAAACAAGCCCCTAGGATACTTAATTAGCATAGATTCACTGATATATGAAAAATCATAAATTAGAGTTACAGCAAAACCTAAGCTCAACACCACAAGTATTAAGAAAACAGGAGGTGCATCACGATGGCAAAATTGAAGATTGACAGGGCTCTACCACCACTCGTTTTCGCCGGAGAAACCACACTCATGAAATAAAAACAAAATTATTTCAGTCTTGTCATAGCTACCATAAGCCATGAATGCCTGGAACCTCCTAATTTGGTAACGAAATAAGCTTTCAATAAAATGCTTAGAGATATAACAGACAACATTCATGACTGGAGGATCCACAAATACATGCTACAATATGCCTGGCAAGACTGAAGGCCTTTCAAGCAGGGCCAGAATCAAAACCAAAGTGATCCCACTTTAGCCACAGGTGATATTAGGATAATGACCTGCTCAGAGCAGTTTAAGAGGCTTGCAAAATAGGAATAAGCAAAGAATTTGTTGTGTCTAAGGGCATGAAACACTGCACAACTAGTTTGGCCTATGTTACAGTGCTACTGAAAGATTAAAGTGAAAAAATGTATTACATTGTCTAAACAAATCTTCTAGCATTATTAATTTAAGTCTGTGTAACAGTACGCGACTGATGTTCACTGGCAAAATTAAATTCATCTACCAAAATTTTGAGATCTGATTATGGCAATTAGGAATCCTACATACAATGCAGCCTGCCCATTAACAGCCCACCCCTGCAGCACTTTCCTCTCAGAGTTTGTTATATTCTTCCTGAAAGCAAGATTTTTTTGCCCATAGTTAGTACTTTCCCTCCCACCCCCGCCATGTTCAATAAATCATAGTGTTCTTGAAAACATTTTTTGTAATGAAGCAGGGATTAAGTCTTTAGAGATCCTTGTTCAAACATGAGCGGAGCTAAACATTAGCATTATTGGGCATTGACTAATCAGTTAATAGTAACTTCTGCCTCAGAAATCCAAGGCCTGGAAATCCACTGGATTTACACCAACTCAGACCACAACCAGGAACAGCCAGAGCATCACGTTGGGGAGGAATGGAGTTCACCACCTTTTAGAAGAGGATCTCTGGGCTTTCAGCTCTGCAGTGGATGAGGCTGATTCCATCTAGCCCTTATCTAACATGACATGGCCATTGTGATATAAATAGTGTCTTACTCGCCTGCTTTGCAGGAACAATGTTAGTCCAGAAAAGGTCAAATGGTTTTGCCACAGGGGAAAAGAGCAAAAATCATTTGTAATTTAATATTGCCCTTTGGTTTTTTTTTGCTTAGACAAGAGAAGACTCCAGGTGCTAGTCACACAGGAGGGAGAGGAATACAGAAGACAAGGCATATTTACCTAGTCTGCAGTAGCACAAAGCAATAATATTTCAATCATTTCTTAAGGCCCAGGAGGAACTAGTATTTACCCAGCATCTCGCTGATCTCATCTTTACTTGGAATCCTTCAAACTCTACAGGCAACGTCTGCTCAAACCTGCCTACTTTGACAATGCAGAAATAAGTCATAGCTGCAGGCAAGTCTGGGACAGATGTACTTGATGCACCCACTAGCGAATGTATATCTTCTTATTCCACAATGCTTACTGCATTGATGCTTTCAATTAATAAACATGACTTTTACCCATAGCAAGCCAAACTGATCTATTTTCAGCAAAACAGGAAAAATACCCAGTTTTAAATCTCTGAACACATTACACAACCTGAGGTTGCTCCTACTAATGCTCAGATAAGCGTTATACAAATACCCACACGTATTTCTTAAGGTTGCTATCAAGCATTTTCCTCCTCCTACAGAAAAAAAAGTAGCTCTGCTACAAAATTTGCATGCGAGACAGGCCGGTACATTCATACAGCTGATCTAGAGAAATACATACAGCCGGGAAGTGAAATTTCTACAAATTACTACATGAAGGTGACCCAAAGTCGGATTTATTGCTAGCTTTTATCGTTTGCTTTTATTGCTTCCAGCGCACTGGTAATCTACGCACAGGGTGATACTTCAGTACTAATGGAAATCAGTAAACAAGGTCGCAGGCGTCTCAAACAATTCCTTTGCACATTCTAAAAATATTTGTAGGTCCCGTTTGCTAGAAAGGCACCGACCTTTCCTTGTGTCATCCGCGCTCAGCGGGTGCAGCCTGCACCTACAGCTCGCGGTGCGCAGGGCAGAACTCATCCTACTCGCTGGAAATAAGGGTAATTGCTAAACTTGTTATCAACAAAATTAGAAAGTAAAATAATTACAGCAAATTTCCCCTTGGGCCATTTTGTGCAGACTACAAAAGACTTCTAAGATACTCCAAACCAGCCCGTCCTTCCTGGGAAATACTACACATTGAAAAATAATTGTTTATCATTAAATTAAGTAACAGCACGTAAGGTGAATGAGATAAACAGAGTATCTGACTCAACTGGAATCGTGTTTGGCCCAGACCCTGTGATACACAGGCAGCTTGCAAGTTATTTTTGCAAAACATGTTTATGCAGTGACTTTAAGCCTCCAGGCTAAACACAATGTAGTGCAAAGGGCCATGAGAGAGAAGGCAGCAGGTCCCCTCCGCTCCCCATCCTTTTCGGTCTAAATAAGAGAATCTGAGACGCAGCAGCAAAGACAACACAATGTCTGTAACAGCAGTAGCCTATACAATCTGCACAAAGAGAATGAAAGGCTCCAGCTATTATTCCAGCCTTAAAGAAAAGCATCTCCTCAGAGTCGTGACTGGCAGAGGGATTTCGCTTTCCAGGCTGCTTTGTGAAGGTGGAGTGAACCTCAGCAGCTCTGGGATGCGGCGTGACAACCTGAACCCTGGGCAGCACCAGCAGACATGGAAAGGGTGCACAGCACACTCAGAGCAGAAAGTGCTTGCAGTGAAATATCATTGAAAGGAAATGCAGCGTTCAGCAGAGCAGGCATCTTCCCGCATTCTGAACTCGAACCAGAAAATTTCCATCCTCACAAAAAAAATTAAATCCAATTTATGAGTAATAGATCTTTCTTTGGGCTTCTGAAAAGTTCCTGAAAATTCTGAGCACATGAACCCTAGTTAGGAAGACTGAAACTGAAGATTTGAAACAGAAATGAAGACAAGCTCGATGTTTATATAATAAAACCTAGTGCCAAAGCTTGAGAAAAACAAGGAAATTCACTGGTTCTAACACTGCTTTTTGTCAAACACTGTACATTCAGGATCTGCATTTTCCAACTGCCATCTGGAATTCTATTTTTTTTTATTTTAAATGCATAATGGGGAAGTAAAGCACGATCGCTTGTACCTTCATGTCCTCAGGCTTTTTTGTTCTTTTGTTTTGCTTTTAAACAAGGACAGTATACAGATAATGACTGGCTACGATTACCGAGAAATACCTAAAGAAAATGAGTTTTTCAAAATGCCCCATCCAAATGCATTAGCAATTAGAATCTCCTCAAGTTTCCATTAGTCTGTCAAAACAAGAAATGATCCTATAGCAGTTCTGACTAAAACTCTTAAAGATTGTCACATTGATTGAATTTCAAAGTATAGACTTACAAATTCGTAGTCTCCATCCTGTGGTACTTTCCAATCAGATGAATTTTTTGTCTGGCCAGACACATTCTTCCCAAAGCTATTGATTTGATTCTCCTTCTCCTTCTGCTCAAAATATTCAAGGAATGATGGTTTGGCTGGCTGCATCGTTTCATCCCTCCCTGGAAATATTAAAAATAGAAAAAAATAGTTGTTTTGAAAAAATATATTTTCGGTTATACTGCTTTACATCAGACCCAAAAGTGATTTTATTTTTTTAGCACACACTAAATCACATAGTACTGCTAAAGCACTATTTCTTTCAGCAGCTTTTCAGACATAAAACTGATTGTACAGCAAGAAAACTGGAGAAGGGGAGCTCAGAGCCCACCAGACAAGAGACTATAATGCTGCAGGCCTTGGCCTCTGGACCTGCAGCCCGTCCATCAAAGCTCACTACCAGGCAACCGAGCTTCATCCACCAAATGTGAGAACTAAACTGTGAACAACTTGAGAGGTTGGTTTGTTTTTTTTTCATCCCAGCCAGGTTGTATGCTCTGCAAAACACGCAACATTCCCAAACAGCATTGTTTTACAAGCAGAAACTCACCTCTGTAGTTATGAATGGAACAGTACTAAAGTGAGGCCTTCAAAGACCATGTCTACCACACAAATATCACGTCACTTGCCTTGGGTAGAAGTAGACAAGTTCCGCGTTTCTTGGGTAGAAAGGATTAATTTGGTTTGCGGAGCTTCTTTTTCTCTTTTTATAAACAGTCAGTTAGTAAGTTTTCTGCTCTAGTTTTCTTTGTGTAAGTTAATTCCTTGAAACATACTTTCTTAGTGGATTACTCAAATAAGCCAGAGATAGAGATGAACCATTCAATTCTAGACTGCACTTAAGAAACCAGCAAAGGTGCATGGCAGGGGGTTGGAACTCAATGATCTTTAAGTTCCTTTCCAACCTGAATCATTCCATGATACAAAGAGAGACAGAGGAGTCAAAATAATCCCCTAAATATGAATACTTTGATTTTTAAGAGCAGGTCTCATGAGCCTCCCAAGCACCATTCTCAATAACAAAGAGCTCCCCCAGACTGATGCGAGAAGAAAGGACACAGCCAAGAGCACAAAGCTTTAGCACAACTAGATCTACATCATTCTCATTTGTCTAAATAATTTTTTAGAATGAGCAAAAGTTAACAGAAAAGGAAGATGGCTGCTGATGCATTAAGAACAAGAAGTTCATAAAAATACATTCTCAACAGGTGCCCAGGTACATTGGGAAGTTGGTGGGATCAGGGATACGAGCACCAATGTATCCCTTCTTCCTCTAGCCATCGCACTGTCCAAATCCTTGTTGATGAGATTTAAGTACCATTACATACAAATAAATCTAGCAATTCATTCAGCAAACAGGTTTCCATCCCTGAAGGAAGAAATGCAGGGTCAGAATGTCCCAGAACAAAGCAGATCCCCCAGGCTGTCTGGAGAGCGGAGGTGGGCTCCAGCCAACGAAGGCAGCTTTGGCTGCAGAGCCACGGCAGCGCAACAGGGGAGGAAGTAATGAAAAGGGAGAGGATGAAAATAACGATTACTAACAAAGACCACATAAAAGCCAATACAGGCAGAAACCACAAAATTTAACTTCATAGCCAGTCAAGACCGAGAGGCCTACCCTGTCTCCAAGGGAAGATTTCTTTACTGGTGCAACCAGTAAAGCATCATATGCTGCCCGGGCTCCTCACCCTTAAATCTGGCCGGTCCGGAGAGTCAGGGCACAGCCAACACCTCCTCAAGAGTCTCAACCCAAAGGAAGAGGAAGGTTCACGCAGCAAATGTGCTTTCCCAGGGCTGCACCCCCCCACCAGGACAAGTGCAATCACAGCGAGAGGCTACGGGCAGCTTAAGGCCACCGTGCTGCTCCGGGTGATAAAACCCCTCCCAAAAACCTGTGATCATGATGGAAGTGAGCACTGTAACAATACCCAGTGAAATAGGTTTGTTCTGATAAAATATGGTTCTCTAGAGGCTGGAGTAGGTTAATCATACTTGAACCATCTGTTTTTGTCAATGCAGAAACCATCATTTTCAGAAAGCAGGATTAGGACTAGATTTAACAGAAAACTGCATCAGAACAGCCTAATTCTGGACAGTGGAAATAAGTTCACTGTCCAATGCCACACATTTGAAATAAATATAATCTGTCAGGCAGGCGATCAACCGAAAGTTTAGAGCTTCAGAGAAGCACAGAGGGGACGGAGGCGTCCCTTGATGGGTTTGTGGGGTCTGTGTAATGCAGAGCCAGGCTATCACAGGGCAGTCCTCACTGAGGACATTCAGCAGCACCTTCCGCTTGAAAAAATACTAGCTACTCTGGAAACCCATTAAGATTTAATCACGGAATATTATTCTTCCACATAAAATTGTCATCCAGTGATCCAGAACTTCCCTGGCAGACTCTGCCTGATCCTCAGATGAGTGTACGAATTCCTCGGTCAGCTACGAGATACTTGAGGAAGTTATTTGTCTACAGACGTGTTAAATACAGAACAAATTTCCGCAAAGTATGAGAAATCTTGACAGGATATTTGGGTTGTGATACTGAGGGATGGGTGGTTCTACACAGCCTGAAATGTCACGATGCCTTTTGGTAAAGTGCTGCCTCGTGCTGCCTCTCCGGGGTCAGCTAAAAGCTCAAGCAGGAACCAAAGTGCTTACACTTTCACACTATGACAACTGGAGCAAAGACAAATTATTCTACCCCTGGCAGTAGTTCCCCCCCCTTTTTAAAAAAAGAAAAAACAAAAACCTCATCGTACAGAATTAGATCGAGAAAGACACCTTCAGACAAGCTGCGTGAAGGTCAGTCAGGAAACACGTCCGCGAAGTGGAGAACTGATTTGCTGTTGGGAATAATTACTGCAATACAATAGCAATCCAATTACTGCTAAGTGATAAAACATTTATTTAGACTGAGGTAAATACACCCTTTGTGTTCTGCTGCACTCCAGCCTGTTTGGAGCAGGCAGTAAGTTGTTATGGCCAAGCACAGCAATGTTTAACACCAACAAATTTTGCAGAAATAGAGGAATTCATGACCAGCCAGGCTAATGCAAATGCAGCTTACTGATGGCCAGCCTAGGCTGCAGTAATTTAGGCTTCCTAGGAGAGTAAAAAAAAAAAGACATCTAAATCAATTTGTATTGTATGTTTTGAAAACAGTTGTTTGCTGCAAAGGAGACTTGGAAAGCAAGTGTTTCACACCAGTGACATGGCCTTATCTGTTTTTTTTCCTTTTATTTTTTTTTAAAAGACTGCTCGCTCCTACCAGAGGTTAATTCAGAGTGCTCCTTTCCCTGTAACTTGTATTTTACCAAGAAATGCAGTATTTGTGAACAACGAGTTACATCTACTGAACAACAACCTACTGTAGCATCACTGAATTGCCGGAAGGTATATCTAAACACAAGCTTCATTTAATGAAACTATTTACTAAAACTTCTGCTTTATGCAGAAATGAAACAGGCAAAGAAGGAAGCACGTGAAGTGGTGGTAGCTTATAACCCTGAAAAGTACAGCTGGATTTTCAGCCCCATCAGTACAAGTGATGGAAGGGAAAGCTGGGGGTGCTGCAGGGGAAGGCTGCCAGGACACCGAAGGGCTCCCTGCCATGGGTGGGAGGGCAGGGGGGTTTGTCCAGCCTGGGGAGGGCAGGAGGGGCTCTAGCTGTGGTCTTCTACCCCAACAGGCCACCAGAGCCCTGCTCTTCCCAGCAAGAGGCTGAACTGCAGTAGGGGCACCATAGCTGAATGCAAGGAAGAACGTTTTCCCAAGAGGGATGGTTGTGCAAGGGAGAAGGGCTGGAGCGGTCACGCACCGGGCTGGACTCAACACTGTGCTTGGTCCTATCCATGGCACAGGAAACCAGACTGCTGGCCTCCAGCCATCCCTGCCAAGCCACTCTGAGTGTAGTGAGACCCTGGAACAGGTTTCCCAGAGAAGCTGTGGCTGCCCCATCCCTGGAGATGTTCAAGGCCAGGTTGGACAGAGATTTGAGCAACCTGGTCTAGTGGGAGGTGTCCCTGCCCAGGGCACCTTTATTTAAACACGGTTTGGGTTTTGTTTAAACTGCTTAAAATAGAGATTGCTAACTGGCAAACAAATAGTGGAAAAAAAGATAACATAAATCAAAAAATAGGCGAAATCCAGATCCAAGAGGTGTGCAACGTGAGCTGCTGCTATGATCTCAGTAGGGGTGCGGATGCAGCAAGACCGACAGAAACACTCCCAGAGACAGAGAGACGTTCCACCAAATCAATTATCATCCCAGCACGACTGGATTTCTTTTCATCAATCTTGGCACTTAACAGCAGTGTCATCTTTCCAAAGATGATCTGCTATTAATTCAACACAAGAATCACCCCACTATATCTTTAGGAGTTTGATAACGGGCAGCTGAAGACAAAAATTGATCACTGCTATTTGCAGGAGCTGCTGAAAGATGACACTGCACTGAACGTGTCTGTGCCAAAAAGCATTTAATTTCCTAGTTTTATAGGGTTAGACAAAAATATGAACATTTGACAGAAAGTGAGATCACAAGTGTGGCAGAGAAGAGAAGGTCACCCTGCGGTGACAAGAAAGGCTTCTCCACGCATTTATTTTGGAATGTAAGGAGTTGCTTGTAAGGATGAGCCGCGAGAGCTCCCCAGAGCCATTAATGCCTACCATTTAGATACACAGTCATCTTTTTAGGAGCTGTATTAATTACGCAAATGGAACAGCACGGCTCTGCTGGAGCAGGGCCAGCTGACTGCAGGTTTGGGCTAGCTGTGCAGAGCCCCAGGCACTGGGCACCCAGCCTGCCGGGGGGTGAAGAGCAGAAACCCTCCACAGAAAACTCAAAAGTCACATTTAGGAAAGCCTAAGAACATCAGTAACGTTTTGTGTGAGAACAGAGAAAGATGTGGAACCAGGGAGTGCAAAGGTAGAGAATGCTGTAAACTGTGATCAACAACCATCCCCTTAGATTTTGATTTTTAAAGGAGTTTACTGCCTTAGTAATAGCCTTACCCTTTCAGCGCTGGAAAGCACGAGTCCAGCTGCATGGGGTACCATGGAAATTGGGACAGTCCTCACCCAAAGAGCCCAGAAAAGCCAAAAGGCAACAGACACAGTC